TATATGATTTAAAATGATTCTAAGGAACTCTGCTTCTATTAAGTGACTATAAATTAACTTTTGTCAGTATAATGAATTCCAATGATTACAAAATAACATGCCCTATTGCATTGTCACATTTCATTCAAAATAAAAATTTCCTCAATTCAATTGACACTTCCGTAGCTATTTATTTAAGCTTATGGTCTTAATACTTCTCTGAGTAATTTTGACTTGAGTTATCTGGATCTTGGTTTGTTACAGGGAATGGAGGAAATAAAGCGACAAGTTGGGCAGCATATTGAGGTGGATCCTGATTGGGAAGCAGCCATTACAATCCAGATGCAGTTGAAGAACATTCTCTTGATGTTTCAGGAGTGGTGTGCCTGTGATGTAAGCTGCATAGTAGAAAGGACTTGCAGTGATCTGGAGTTTCTTACGAGCAAACTCCTCTCCCTAGGCTTGAACAACATGACTGTTCTACTGTAACTCATTTTTTCCCCTTGGGAATTCTTAAAAATGAAATATTTAATTGAAATATTAAAAGCACTTAACTTTGAACGGCCTCTAGAATTATTGAGAATTGAGAAAAGCCTTTCCTTTACCACAAGACTGTTATTTTTTTTTACACGTAGATTCTGATTTTGATAGCTGTTGTGGGTAAAACAAGTGGTTTATAGTTTTTTAAATGTTGCTTATTTTTTGGAATGCCATTTCTTAAAGTCATTAACGGTAGTCCTTGACTTATAACAGTTCATTTAATGACCGTTCAAAGTTAACAAAGGCACTGATAAAAGTGACCTGTTTTTCACAGTTGCAACCTTTGCAGCATTCCCATGACCATGTGGTCAAAATTCAGGTGCTTGGCAACTGGTTCATACTTGTGTTCCAAGGTCACCTTTTGCGACCACCTGACCAGCCAAGTCAAAGGGGAAGACAGATTCACTTAACAACCAGGTTACTAACTTATTAACGTCAGTGATTCACTTAACAACTGTGGCAAGAAAAGTCATAAAATGGGGCAAAACTCACTTAACAAATGTCTCACTTAGCAACAGAAATGTTGGGCTCAATTGTGGTCGTAAGCTGAGGACTACATGCACAAATCTCTATAGAAAATACAACTATTTTTATTGATAAATTCAAGAATTGTAGAATTAAGGATTATTGCATTTCTTCGAATATAGTTAAATAGATCTTTTCATTTAAAACCAAAATTAAAAAATTATTGGTACAAAGTGTTGCTTTTTTGCTAGAATTCAACGAAACGTTGTTTGCTTTTCACTAAAAAAATAACAAGTATAGGGCAGGTAAAGTTTTGTTAAAATTTAATGCTCCATGATTTTACTTTATCACTGATGTACATATCCGACAAATTTGTTTGCAGAAACACAGCTACTATGATTCAGTGTTACCACTACCATTAACTATTGTTGTAAAAATACTGTAATTTCCAGGAAGAACTCTTGGTTACAGCTTATAAGGAGTGCCATGCAGCAGTAATGAGATGTAACAACTGTGCCGGTAATTACTCACGGGAGAAAGCAGTGATCAATTTATGTGGCCATACTTTGGAATGCAAACGGTTCAAGGTATCGATGGATCCTGTGAGCATCCATCTCCCATTGTCTAGGATGCTAGCTGGTAAGTGCCTGTTGGTTAATAATGGCTGAGAATTGATTTTCCCTTTTAAAGTCTGGTCAGATTTGATAAAAAAAATAAGGCTTTGAATTTCTTAGGTGTAGGTTATAATTAAGTATATTTATTATCATGTATATTATTGGCTGCTTGACCTCTATAAGTGCAGTTAATAGAGCTTAAGTGCAAGATAATAAAAAAATTCATCCATCCATCCATATATGTGTGTGTATATATATCATATATATCCTTATATATGTTCACAGTGTTATTATTAACATTTTAATATTCCCCTGGATGTAGCCTTTAAAATGCTTTTTTTCTTAATTGGTGCCACACTCTTAATTACTTGCTGGCAAATGTATCTTTGATATGAAAAACCTTGCCTATAAGTAATTTTGAAGTGCATGGTGATAACCAATGGGTCTTTTATCTCCCCCTTAATCAAAAGTAAAATCTCTGGTAATGTCTTTTCTAGGTCTGCATATACAGTTGAGCAAAACTGGAATAATTTCAAGACTCGAAGAGTTTTTTTCATCAGTAAGTATCTTCTGAAAGTTCAATCAGTGTGAGAGTTAGAATGGTTGAGTAAGTGTGCTAGATCTTTTTTGTTCATATTCCAGTTTAAATTCACTATCTGGATATAAAGCTCATTGCAGCCAATTGCTGATTCTTAATCTTCTTCGTTACAGTAATACGATTGGATACAGTTGAAGGACAAAGTAGAATATACTTTACTTTGAGTTATTTGAAGGAAAAGTGCTAAAAAAATACAGATTAGTAATGAGCTATTAATAAAGGACTAATTCTGCATTCAACACTGGGCTCATAGGCTGTCTTAACTACAGTGCCACATAGAGCTACAAAGTAGAAGTCCAGTCTTCAAATTAACCTACATTGTAAATCAAAAGAAGATCTCATATAATCCATGCGTTATGGCTAAGGAACATTGAAGGTCTCATATCAGCCCCACATGCTAATAGGCAGTTAGCTGCATTGGCCTTTTAATGAGAGAGGTGAACTGACAAGCATCCTTGTACAATGTACTGTATATATTTCTGCAAAGAAAATGTAACCCTTCCCCTGTGGGTTTGAATAGATCTACAAAACTTAAGCATCATTTTTCATTGAATCTTATCTTACCAGGATGTGGTTTTTGTTTTCCTAATTCTTTTAGGCACTGGCCCTAGACATAGATGGTGAATAGTATCTATTGAAGGGGGTGAATAGTACATTGATGACCATATAAATTCACTGATGACATTATGTATCATTTCATATAAATTTTAAATAGCATTGCAAACAAAACAATAACTTGTGGCATTCAAAATTGTAATTACCAAAGGCCAAGAAACAGTAGCCTGATATTTATTGTGCATCTTTGTCACAAAAGACCACTTGCTAACAACTACTGTTGTGATCAAAAAGCTAGGAAAATTTGAGGGGCCTGTGTGGAATGTGGCTATGTTATTTAGTCGTCTTAAATTTTGGGGAAGAGAAAATAATCTTCAGCTATTTTTGAAGTAATTTTCCAATCCACAAGTTATCTTCAGACAGGAAGGATATTGGTTTGCAGTGGTTTATCTGCTGTCAATGATTAATTATGCAAACTAATTGTTTTAAAAATCATATTTTCTGCATTATTTTTAGAAAGAATTCCAAGTGCAGCTGTTGATAGAATATCCTTTGCGCTGCCTAGCATTGGTTGCTCAGGTTGCTGCGGAAATGTGGAAAAGGAATGGACTGTCTCTAATCAGCCAGGTATTCTCCAAATGACCATGAATGTATTTGTTTTTACAAATATAAGTCATAAGTTGAAGATGACCTGTAATCAAGCTGTCCCCTAATCTTTCTGCAACACAAACAACTATGAGGGTGAAGGTTCATTCTACAAGCTTATGGTTTCTGAGCGTTTCTGAACAAAAAACTATTCACTGAGAAAATGGGAAATAGTATTTAGCACAGATTGTGAGAGAATAGATAGAGACCATTTTCTGGTGATAACTGACTCTTAACTCTTGTCTTGAAACCAGCTTCCTTTTGTCCAATTTCAGGTGCTAGAGAATTTGTATTGTAATTACTTTGGACATTTTTAACTGAAATTCTAATTCTATGTTTATAAAAACAAAAGCTCAACTCTATACATGAAAATGTATTCATTTTTTTTCTCTTTCAGATGTTTTATTATCAGGATGTTAAATGTAGAGAAGAAATGTATGATAAGGACATAATTCTCTTGCAGGTGATTATATCTTTAATCTTGCAGTAATTGCTTCTTATATATCTGTTATTTTCTAATTTTTTAATACTGTTTATAATGATATTTATATCTCGTAGATTGGCGCAGCATTTATGGATCCAAATAGTTTTCTTTTGCTTGTCCTCAAACGGTATGAACTGCTTAATGCCTTCAAGAAGACAGTGCCAACTAAACACCAGGTAAACAGACTATGATGTTCATTGTACTGTTGAAAACCAAATTATGTAATAATCCATACAAACTTCATGTATAATGTGTTTGCCAGAACCAGAACAGACCAAACATCATATTTTTCCACCAGAATGCATGGGATAATACTTCAGAACACTAATCTATGTATTTATTTCATATTCAAAACACAGTTTTTGGTTGACATACAAGCACACGCTGCCCCCACCCCCAAGGTCTCCTGCTGCAGTTTGCAACATAATTAGATGACATGTAATTCAAATTTTGAATTTGTTTGATGAGTAATGTATAAATAGTTTTCTATTATTTCAGATAATCGTGTTTCAAGAATGCAATTTGTTTTAATCTTACAGGATTTCAATAAAAAATGTAACACATTGATAGAAGAAATGCTTCAAGTACTCATCTATGTTGTAGGTAAGAAAGACCATTTTTTAGAAAAGATGGGGATACAGGTAGTCCTCGACTTACAACAATTCATTTAGTAACTGTTCAAAATTACAGCGGCACTTAAAAAGTGACTTATCATTTTCATACTTAGAGTATCCCAATGGTAACGTGATTTACGTACAAATACTTGACAGCTGGTTCATATTAATGATGATTTCACTGTCCCAGGGTCATATGATCCCACCTTTTGTGACCTTCTGACAAGCAAAGTCAATGGGGAAGCCAGATTCATTTAACAACCATGTTACTAATTTAACAACTGCAGTGATTCACTTAACAAATGTGGTAAGAAAAGTTGTAAGATGGGACAAAATTCACTTAACAAATTTCTCACTTAGCAACATAAATTCTGGGCTCAATTGTGGCCATAAGTCAAGGACTATCTGTATTTTCTTTTTGGGATCATTTTTGCTATGTATAAGAAAAGAGTGTGGTTGAAAATAGAAAAAAGTAATCTTATTAAGCCTATTGAACAGCTGCGCATCACTAACACTTAAATTCAGTATTTGAAACCACAATTACCATTGACCAAGTACTGTGGCAAAATGTCATTATCTAGACCACTGCTTTAGCAATATTATTAAGTGTGCCTGACACTATCAGTGTATGGTTAATTAACTCCAATTAAGGGCATATCTGGCACACCTTGTGAAGTGCTGTATTCGCAACTAATTTGGACAACTGCACTTATATAAAGAAGCAGAAAAAAATTCAGCTGATAAAAGAAAAGAAAAACCACTAATTGACAGATGTTTTGCACAAAAAATAGCAAGATGCAAGACAGCTTCTCTCTGTTGCACTCCAGAACTTGTTATGATTTGTTCAACGTTTTGGAGCATTTTATGCCAGTTGTAAAATACTGTTCCTCTATTCTTGGTCTTACAGCATGATTCCTTGAATAAATGAGTGCATGCCACTATTTTTGTGTCTGTGTATTTGTGTATTTGTAATAATCCCTTGGGTATTTTTTTGTATTCTTTATTAGGGGAAAGATATGTCCCAGGAGTAAGTAATGTGACAAAAGATTATGTGACAATGCGAGAAATTATCCATCTGCTGTGTATTGAGCCAATGGCACATAGTGCTATTGCAAAATCTTTGCCTAAAGATGTGAGTAATTTCTTTTCTTTGCCTCTCATATATATTCTTACAGTCACTCCTTGCTTAACGACCATTCATTCAGTGAGTGCTCTAAGTAACAACAGTGTGGAACAAATGGTAGTTACTACCAGTCCTCAGAGTTATGGCTGTTGTAGTGCCAACATTTTGGTGGTTGTCAATTGACCAACATTTACAACTGCAGTGTGTTTCAAAGGAGCTGCCTGGGAAGTAGGCAGTGGGGCAGAGTATGTAGAAGAGGCAGGGCAGTGCTACAGGTGGCAGCTCCCTGGACAAAGATAGCAGCTGTCGGTGCTGTGCGATCCAATCCCAATTAGGTCATTAAGACCTATCATTTACTTTCTTTTGACAGATGTTTAAAGATGCCTGCTCAAATCTTTTATTTTTTTGGCGATTATTACAGTCAATCCCAGCTGTATGCCTGTACTCAGTGCAAATTTTGCATGCTTGCTTCTTCATTTTACAGGTTTTATAGCCTGTCTAGTTCAAAAGGCTTTGGCGGTCTATATAATACATTAAATGATTAAAGCAATAATATAAATCAAAATGATAAAGAGCAACAGTAATAATAAATTAGCTCTCTCAAAGAGAAACACCAATTGGGATCATATTCATGCAGAGTTTCACAATTACCTGTGTGTACCACTGATGTTTTTGCATCAAATTTTGCAACATGGAGGCTGCATGAAGAAAAGTAGACTTGTTTATGACTATGATTTACTTGTGAAAATTAAAAAAAACTGTTTGATTTTATTTTAGGATCAAGGGAGTTTATCTCTTTATTTTTGCTCTGTGGTATCCTTGGATTGTTGCTGTGCTTGTAGCATCTTGCCAGAGACATGGATTAGCATGAATACTTGTAGATGTAGGTTATTTTCTTTCAAAAGAATCGTGTGTCAGGTTTCCAAGTAACACATCCAACGGAATCAAAACTCCAAGGCAGGCATGTTCTTCAAAGTATAGATTTATTAGGCATGTCATATTGGCACATCTGGGGAAACCCGACTCTAATCCCCCTTGGGTTTCCCCCGTAGTTAAAAGTAGAATGTTCTTTCTCCTTCCCTTGTAGTCCATCACATGGTCCAATCAGACCAGAGTCCAAGGGTCGCTTGGTCACAGATCCCACCTCCTTGCACCTGGTGGGAAAGTCCTCGGTTCTCAGAAGAAAGAATGCTATTATGACTACAATCCTCTAGCTATTTCTTCCTCCCTCCTCCTGTTCCCATAGCTTGACTCGCTTTGCTGTGATAGCCCTGAAAGTGCTGGGTAGGGGGAGGTTGCAGGGCTGACATCGTTCTCACTTAGAGGTATGGGCAGTCCTCATTTACCAAGTGCCTCGTCTAGCGACTGTTTAAAGTTACAATGGTGTAAAACGAACCAGTTTTGCAACCAAATACTTGAATTCACAACAATGGCAGCATCCCATGGTCATGTGATTGCTATTTGAGTGCTTCTTTAGCAGCAAGCATTTATGACTGGCAATGATTGCCAGCCATATAATCACCATTTCTGAGCTTCCCAACCAGCTGGCAACAACCAGAGTTAATGAAGAACATGGGAGTAAAGTTATAGTCACATGATGACTCATTTAATGACCACATTGACTTACTTAAAGACCAAATAGGAAGTGATGTTGTAAGTCTTCCAAAGCCACACGATTTTCCATTTAGTGACCACTGCACATAGTGTCAGCGTTGCACATCCCAATTGTGGTTGCTAAATGGGATCACCTATGTGGAATAATATCCAGAGAAGGCTTTTTCATAAAAAAGCAGAAAACGTATAGCTATTTCTTCAAATGCAATATCCTTTTTCCTTAGAGTGAATGATTTGTTTCCTTCTTTATATATTCTTACCATTACCATAATATTATTCTGACCTTAGTACAAGGAGTTCTTGTTTAGTGTCTGCCTTGGTTAGTGTCCATTAGCGGTTATGATGATGATGAAAAAGTAACTTTAGCGGTCCTAAACTTTACAGGTTTGTAGAGCAAAAGAAACTGAAATACAGTTGTAAAATTGGAGTGTTTCACTGCTCACATAACAATTGCTGGTCCCAATTGTGATCGCTTAAGGAGGACTATCTGTAATTGCAAAACACCACACTCATATTCCTCATCCAAATCTAACCCCAATCCCCATTCAGAAAAAATCAGAATCTAGCATCCAGCATGAGGAAGACAAGATCCTATGCGTTCTCTCCTGAGTCCAGTAGAATCTCTTGATTCTCTTTATCTCAGCATGTTCCACAGGTAAACCAGCTACTTTTGATAGCCCAATCAACAAATCAACAGCTACTTTTGATAGCCCAATCAACTCTTGAAATTACCAAGCCACCATTTAATCATTAAAGATCATCAGAAATAGATCCAATCTATAGGCTAGATACGTATATCTCTGCAGAAGCAACCTTAACCAGCTTGCAGTTACGGTGTTGCAGACTCCTACAATCACATGGTCTCCATTTGTTACCTCTGACATTAGGTTAATCAAGGACATAATGTCCTTGCTTAACAACCCTCAGTGGTTTCCTTTAAAACAGCAATTGGGAGTATTGGAATTGCCAACTCTAAACAGAGTAGGCACATGATGTTGTGCTTTACCATGGTGGTACAGTGGAGATGTGTGGTGGCTCAGTGGTTAGAATGCAGTATTGCAGGCTAATTCTCCTGACTGCCAAGGGTTCGATCCTGACCAGCTCAAGGTTGACTCAGCATTCCATCCTTCCAAGGTTGGTAAAATGAGGATCTAGACTGTTGGGGGGCAATATGCTGACTCTGTAAACTGCTTAGAAAGGGCTGTGAAGCACTGTGAAGCAGGATATAAGTCTAAGACAAGTGCTGTTGCTATTTACAACCATTTTACTTAGCAATAGCAATTCTGGTCCCAATTGCCATTGTTAACTGATAATTATTCATACATAAAAAAACCTCTGCATTTCAGGATTCTCTCTCAGCCTATTTCATGTGTATTATTTCCTTGGTAGGAACTAGAAGGGGATTATTGTGAAGAGAGAGAAGTATCAGAAAACATAATCGCATGATTCATCAGCCAATACAATATGTAAGCCTGATGAGAATCTAGTTTGCTTTTCAACACAAATGGTTGTGATTTAGATGTGCTGCTCTCTTGATTTGTTTTAAATTTACTATTTTCATCCCCCCATTTTGCTAACAACCATGCATGGTGCATGTCTTAACAGGAAAACAACGAGACTGGTTTGGAGAAGGTGATTCACAAAGTGGCCTTGTTCAAGTAAGTGCTCTTTTTAAATAAATACTTTTAAAATTATAAGTAATTGTTAAATAATTGCAATGTGATTGAAAATAAACTTTTTTATTTAACTAAAGAAAACCTGGTGTATCAAGCCATGGAGTTTATGAATTGAAGGAAGAATGCCTCAAGGAGTACAATGTATTTTTTTACCATTATACCAAGACTCAGCACAATAAGGTAAGAAAGCATTTCATGGAAATACGAAGTTAGGACATTGACATGGATTTCTTCTACAACTTAAGTAGGTTTATTTAAGCAAGAGGCAAAGAAGGAAGAATGTTAATTAAAATCACTGTGAAATAAAAGGTATGTTTTATCACTGAAAATAATATTTTATTTGTTTGCTTAGTTATAGTTTTTCTATATTACCCTACTCCAAAATGACTTCTTGAGGTTCACAATAATTGCCATAGAACCCAGCCAACAATCAATAAGCTATATATTTGTTATATATAAAAGGAATTTTCCAGGGACTTTTCAGATTTTTTTCCTAAATGCAAATAGTCAAAGTGAATAGCAAAAACAATATATTGTCTACAATTTCTGTTTTAAGATTTTCTTTAGCTCATCAATGGTGGGCAATATAGGTGGGCAACAAAGGTGGCCTGCAGGTGACACCTGTCTCCTTGATTCTTTTATAGTGCCCCAAGCCTTGACTTTATTACTGAAATTCAACAATTTAATTGCATTGATTGGTCCTAAATTTTACCTTTTATCCCCATGTAAGTAAAATAGTTATGTTAAATCTCTGATGGATATTGTGCACCTATTTGGCTAATCTTTCCAAAATGCAAAATTGAAGGACAGAATTGTAGAAGCTTCTTGGATGCAAAAAGTCCAATTGCCTTTTGAAAAAGCACAGAGGTGGGCTGCACTTACGTTCACAACTGGTTCGCTGGTTGTGAGCGCACACTCAATTTGTGGAAATAGGAAGGGAACAATTTATATTTTTGGCTTCTGCTTCAGCTTCTTCAATCTAGTCCCTTTTTTGGATTCAGTTGTTCATAAGTGCTTTTGGTAGATTCACATCATTTACATGTTGATATACAGAAAGAAAATGAAGTTATTCATTTTACAGGCTGAACATATGGAAAAGAAAAGAAGAGTACAAGAAAATAAAGATGAAGGTAAACACCGTTATATTATGAAAGAAAATGGAGGGATAGTTGATGTAGCTGTAATGTCTTATTTACTGTATATGAAGTTGGCAATTATAATAATCCTAGTGATTATGTGGAATTGGTTAATGAAACCATTTGTTTCTGAATTACTTGCTATCAGCCAGAAACTGGGAGGCTTAAGATTTTATATTTAATTTTTTGTTTACTTTTGTAGAAATAGACCTCATGATTTTGTAGTATGGATCTTACGATTTCTCCATTTCTGGCTTAGTTTGGAGTGATCATGGAGGTTTTGTGAGTTCATTAGATGCTGGAATATAGATATTAGGCTGAAATTGGGGTGCTTACATTTCTATTAGATAGGAATTATAAGCACTGTCGCCAACATGATTAATAGCTGTTAAGTATTTATTTATTTATCCCATCTGTGTAGCAGCCCATCTCAAATACATGACTTTGGGCTAAAAACAAAGCAACAATTTTAAAAGCTTAATATATTTTATATTGAATACACATCTACACACAAATCACACTATAAAAACATTAAAAAAAATCTATCAAACACAATAGTGTTCATAGTTAGTAACCCAGATACAAAAACCAACAGGAACAACTTTCATGGCCGCCACATAGGCTCTACCATACATCTGGATTCCCAAGCCTGGTGGCAGAACCACATCTTTAAAGCCACAAAAAGCCAGTAAGATTGGAGCCAATGTAATCTCTGACAGGATAATGTTTGAAAGGGCAGACACCTCAATAGAGAAGGCGATCTTTTTGAGCCCTGACAAATGATGTCCTGCAACATTTAGCACTCAGAACATGCCTTTTCTGCTGGACAGGTAGGCATAATTGAGGAGAAAGGTCCCTCAAATAATTCCTCTGCTAATTATGCTGCATTCCAAGTCATTGCTTTGGTCCTATAGTTTTACTGTGCAAGGATTTATTTAGGTATATGCAAAATATAAACAAAGATTAATATATTATAGGAGCAGATGAGTAGTTCTGGCTAAAATTATAGCCTATTGATTTCCAGAAGTATCTATAAGTTACTCTAAACAAGGAATGCCCTTACAAATATGATTAGACTACAACTCCAGTCAGTTCTCCTGACAGCTAAGATTGATGAGAGTCAAAATGCAATAAAATCTGGATGATGATCTCTATCCCCCCTCTCTCCCTCCCTCACTCCATATCTATCTATCTATCTATCTATCTATCTATCTATCTATCTATCTATCTATCTATCTATCTATC